GACCCTAGTATGTTGCTGCACTAGTAGTGTTGCTGCACTAGTAGTGTTGCTGCACTAGTAGTGTTGCTGCACTAGTAGTGTTGCTGCACTAGTAGTGTTGCTGCACTAGTAGTGCTGCGCACTAGTATGTTGCTTCACTAGTAGTGTTGCTGCACTAGTAGTGTTGCTGCACTAGTAGTGTTGCTGTACTAGTAGTGTTGCTGCACTAGTAGTGTTGCTGCACTAGTAGTGTTGCTGCACTAGTAGTGTTGCTGCACTAGTAGTGTTGCTGCACTAGTAGTGTTGCTGCACTAGTAGTGTTGCTGCACAAGTAGTGTTGCTGACCCTAGTAGTGTTGCTGTACTAGTAGTGTTACTGCACTAGTAGTGTTGCTGCACTAGTAGTGTTGCTGCACTAGTAGTGTTGCTGCACTAGTAGTGTTGCTGCACTAGTAGTGCTGCTGCACTAGTAGTGTTGCTGCACTAGTAGTGTTGCTGCACTAGTAGTGTTGCTGCACTAGTAGTGTTGCTGTACTAGTAGTGTTGCTGCACTAGTAGTGTTGCGGGCACTAGTAGTGTTGCTGCACTAGTAGTGTTTGTTGCACTAGTAGGTTGCTGCACTAGTAGTGTTGCTGCACTAGTAGTGTTGCTGCACTAGTAGTGTTGCTGCACTTGTAGTGTTGCTGCACTAGTAGTGTTGCTGCACAAGTAGTGTTGCTGACCCAAGTAGTGTTGCTGTACTAGTAGTGTTGCTGCACTAGTAGTGTTGCTGCACTAGTAGTGTTGCTGCACTAGTAGTGTTGCTGCACTAGTAGTGTTGCTGCACTAGTATGTTGCTGCACTAGTAGTTTTTGCTGCACAAGTAGTGTTGCTGCCCCTAGTAGTGTTGCTGTACTAGTAGTGTTGCTGCACTAGTAGTGTTGCTGCACTAGTATTTGTTGCTGCACTAGTAGTGTTGCTGCACTAGTATGTTGCTGCACTAGTAGTGCTGCTGCACTAGTAGTGTTGCTGCACTAGTAGTGTTGCGGGCACAAAGTAGTGTTGCTGCACTAGTAGTTTTGCTGCACTAGTAGTGCTGCTGCACTAGTAGTGTTGCTGCACTAGTAGTGTTGCTGCACTAGTAGTGTTGCTGCACAAGTAGTGTTGCTGACCCTAGTAGTGTTGCTGTACTAGTAGTGTTGCTGCAATAGTAGTGTTGCTGCACTAGTAGTGTTGCTGCACTAGTAGTGTTGCTGCACAAGTAGTGTTGCTGAACTAGTAGTGTTGCTGACCCTAGTAGAGTTGCTGCACTAGTAGTGTTGCTGCACTAGTAGTGTTACTGCTCTAGTAGTGTTGCTGACCCTAGTAGTGTTGCTGCACTAGTAGTGTTGCTGCACTAGTAGTGTTGCTGCACTAGTAGTGTTGCTGACCCTAGTAGAGTTGCTGCACTAGTAGTGTTGCTGCACTAGTAGTGTTGCTGCACTAATAATGTTGCTGCACTAGTAGTGTTGCTGCACTAGTAGTGTTGCTGCACTAGTAGTGTTGCTGCACTAGTAGTTTTTGCTGAACTGGAGTGTTGCTGCACTAGAAAGTGTTGCTGCACTAGTAGTGTTGCTAAAACTGGAAAGTGTTGCTGCACTAGTATGTTGCTGCCTAGTAGTGTTGCTGCACTAGTAGTGTTGCTGCACTGGTAGTGTTGCTTCACTAGTAGTGTTGCTGCACTAGTAGTGTTGCTGACCCTAGCAGTGTTGCTGCACTAATAGTGTTGCTGACCCTAGCAGTGTTGCTGCACTAGTAGTGTTGCTGCACTAGTAGTGTTGCTGCACAAGTAGTGTTGCTGAACTAGTAGTGTTGCTAAACCCTAGTAGAGTTGCTGCACTAGTAGTGTTGCTGCACTATAGTGTTGCTGAAACTAGTAGTGTTGCTGCACTATAAGTGTTGCTGCACTAGTAGTTTTTGCTGCACTAGTATGTTGCTGAACTGGTAGTGTTGCTGCACTAGTAGTGTTTGCAAACACTAGTAGTTTTTGCTGCACTATAGTTTTGCTGCACTAGTATGTTGCTGTACTAGTAGTGTTGCTGCACTAGTAGTGTTGCTGCACTAGTAGTGTTGCTGAACTGTATGTTGTTGCTGCACTAGTAGTGTTGCTGCACTAGTAGTGTTGCTGCACTAGTAGTGTTGCTGCACTAGTAGTGTTGCTGCACTAGTAGTGTTGCTGAACTGGTAGTGTTGCTGCACTAGTAGTGTTGCTGCACTAGTAGTGTTGCTGCACTAGTAGTGTTGCTGCACTAGTAGTGTTGCTGCACTAGTAGTGTTGCTGCACTAGTAGTGTTGCTGAACTGGTAGTGTTGCTGCACTAGTAGTGTTGCTGCACTAGTAGTGTTGCTGCACTAGTAGTGTTGCTGCACTAGCAGTGTGCTGCACAAATTAGTGTTGTTGCACTAGTAGTGTTGCTGCACTAGTAGTGTTGCTGCACTAGTAGTGTTGCTGCACTAGTAGTGTTGCTGCACTAGTAGTGTTGCTGCACTAGTAGTTTTGCTGCACCATAGTGTTGCTGCACTAGTAGTGTTTGTTGCACTAGTAGGTTTGCTGCACTAGTAGTGTTGCTGCACTAGTAGTGTTGCGCACTATTAGTGTTGTTGCACTAGTAGTGTTGCTGCACTAGTAGTGTTGCTGTACTAGTAGTGTTGCTGCACTAGTAGTGTTGCTACACTAGTAGTGTTGCTGCACTAATAATGTTGCTGCACTAGTAGTGTTGCTGCACTAGTAGTGTTGCTGCACTAGTAGTGTTGCTGCACTAGTAGTGTTGCTGTACTAGTAGTGTTGCTGCACTAGTAGTGTTGCTGCACTAGTAGTGTTGCTGCACTAGCATTGTTGCTGCACTAGTAGTGTTGCTACACTAGTAGTGTTGCTGCACTAATAATGTTGCTGCACTAGTAGTGTTGCTGCACTAGTAGTGTTGTTGCACTAGTAGTGTTGCTGCACTAGTAGTGTTGCTGCACTAGTAGTGTTGCTGCACTATTAGTGTTGTTGCACTAGTAGTGTTGCTGCACTAGTAGTGTTGCTGCACTAGTAGTGTTGCTGCACTATTAGTGTTGCTGCACTAGTAGTGTTGCTGCACTAGTAGTGTTGCTGTACTAGTAGTGTTGCTGCACTAGTAGTGTTGCTACACTAGTAGTGTTGCTGCACTAATAATGTTGCTGCACTAGTAGTGTTGCTGCACTAGTAGTGTTGCTGCACTAGTAGTGTTGCTGCACTAGCATTGTTGCTGCACTAGTAGTGTTGCTGCACTAGCAGTGTTGCTGCACTAGTAATGTTGCTACACTAGTAGTGTTGCTGCACTAATAATGTTGCTGCACTAGTAGTGTTGCTGCACTAGTAGTGTTGCTGCAGTAGTAGTGTTGCTGCAGTAGTAGTGTTGCTGCAGTAGTAGTGTTGCTGCACTAGTAGTGTTGCTGACCCTAGTAGTGTTGCTGCACTAGTAGTGTTGCTGCACTAGTAGTGTTGCTGCACTAGTAGTGTTGCTGCACTAGTAGTGTTGCTGCACTAGTAGTGTTGCTGCACTAGTAGTGTTGCTGCACTAGTAGTGTTGCTGCACTAGTAGTTGCTGCACTAGTAGTTTTGCTGCACTAGTAGTGTTGCTGCACTAGTAGTGTTGCTGCACTAGTAGTGTTGCTGCACTAGTAGTGTTGCTGCACTCAAAATCGAGTGTTATGACGTCCTTATACATGAGTAATACAAAGATTCAGCGGATCAAATACAAAGATACGAAGGAGCTAATACGGAAATTGAACAGAACAAAAGAAAATACAATAGATCATGGTTTTTCTTTATCAAATTTTGCCTTGATGATGGTCTCATTGAGCGAAATATATTCTTAAGAAAGACTTTGTTCTCTATGTTTGTTTTATGTACATAACATCGCTCTGTGATAGTAAACTTTTTGTCCTTCTATGTGTGCATTTATTACGGTGACACGTACATCCAGTACAGTGACATGCGCATTCACTGCAGTGACATGCGCATCCAATACAATAACATGCACATCCTATACAATGACATGCACATCCAGTACAATGACATGCACATCCAGTACAACAACATGCACATCCAATACAACAACATGCACATCCAATACAACGACATGCACATCCAGTACAACGACATGCACATCCAATACAACAACATGCACATCCAATACAACGACATGCACATCCAATACAACAACATGCACATCCAATACAACAACATGCACATCCAATACAACGACATGCACATCCAATACAAGAACATGCACATCCAATACAACAACATGCACATCCAATACAACAACATGCACATCCAGTACAACAACATGCACATCCAATACAATAACATGCACATCCAATACAACAACATGCACATCCAGTACAACGACATGCACATCCAATACAACAACATGCACATCCAATACAACGACATGCACATCCAATACAACAACATGCACATCCAATACAACAACATGCACATCCAATACAACGACATGCACATCCAATACAAGAACATGCACATCCAATACAACAACATGCACATCCAATACAACAACATGCACATCCAATACAACGACATGCACATCCAATACAAGAACATGCACATCCAATACAACAACATGCACATCCAATACAACAACATGCACATCCAGTACAACAACATGCACATCCAGTACAACAACATGCACATCCAATACAATAACATGCACATCCAATACAACAACATGCACATCCAATACAATAACATGCACATCCAATACAACAACATGCACATCCAGTACAACAACATGCACATCCAATACAACAACATGCACATCCAATACAATAACATGCACATCCAATACAACAACATGCACATCCAATACAACAACATGCACATCCAGTACATCAACATGCACATCCAGTACAATAACATGCACATCCAGTACAATGACATGCACATCCAATACGATGACATGCACATCCAATACGATGATATGCACATCCACTACTTACATAAGGTTGTGTTTGACAGGGAGATGTGCCAACAGACAGGACTGGAGGCCTCAACCTGGGTACTGCTCTCAACATACCCCGGGGTAGAGTCTTCTCTACCTTCGTCCAGAGTCATCGTCGTGCTGCCAAGGATCTTTGTGATGTCTTAATGAGTAAGTACAAACATGCAAATTAATATTGAATGGAATTTTTTTTAGACATTTTTTTTTCATTTCATTAAAAAATGAGTTTCAGTAACCACGAGAAAATAAAAGTTACCTTCAGTTTATTACCTGACCACTGGGATACTTTTATTGTTACTGGGATACTTTTATTGTTACTGGGATACTTTTATTGTTACTGGGATACTTTTATTGTCACTGGGATACTTTTATTGTTACTGGGATACTTTTATTGTTACTGGGATACTTTTATTGTTACTGGGATACTTTTATTGTTACTGGGATACTTTTATTGTTACTGGGATACTTTTATTGTCAATGGGATACTTTTATTGTCACTGGGATACTTTTATTGTTACTGGGATACTTTTATTGTCACTGGGATACTTTTATTGTCACTGGGATACTTTTATTGTTACTGGGATACTTTTATTGTACTGGGATACTTTTATTGTTACTGGATACTTTTATTGTTACTGGGATACTTTTATTGTTACTGGGATACTTTTATTGTTACTGGGATACTTTTGTTACTGGGATACTTTTATTGTTACTGGGATACTTTTATTGTCACTGGGATACTTTTATTGTCACTGGGATACTTTTATTGTCACTGGGATACTTTTATTGTTACTGGGATACTTTTGTCACTGGGATACTTTTATTGTTACTGGGATACTTTTATTGTTACTGGGATACTTTTGTTACTGGGATACTTTTATTGTTACTGGGATACTTTTATTGTCACTGGGATACTTTTATTGCCACTGGGATACTTTTATTGTCACTGGGATACTTTTATTGTTACTGGGATACTTTTATTGTCACTGGGATACTTTTATTGTTACTGGGGTACTTTTATTGTTACTGGGATACTTTTATTGTTACTGGGATACTTTTATTGTTACTGGGATACTTTTATTGTTACTGGGATACTTTTATTGTTACTGGGATACTTTTATTGTCACTGGGATACTTTTATTGTTACTGGGATACTTTTATTGTCACTGGGATACTTTTATTGTTACTGGGATACTTTTATTGTTACTGGGATACTTTTATTGTTACTGGGATACTTTTATTGTTACTGGGATACTTTTATTGTTACTGGGATACTTTTATTGTTACTGGGATACTTTTATTGTCACTGGGATACTTTTATTGTTACTGGGATACTTTTATTGTTACTGGGATACTTTTATTGTCACTGGGATACTTTTATTGTTACTGGGATACTTTTATTGTTACTGGGATACTTTTATTGTTACTGGGAAACTTTTATTGTTACTGGGATACTTTTATTGTTACTGGGATACTTTTATTGTTACTGGGATACTTTTATTGTTACTGGGATACTTTTGTTACTGGGATACTTTTATTGTTACTGGGATACTTTTATTGTCACTGGGATACTTTTATTGTCACTGGGATACTTTTATTGTCACTGGGATACTTTTATTGTTACTGGGATACTTTGTCACTGGGATACTTTTATTGTTACTGGGATACTTTTATTGTTACTGGGATACTTTTGTTACTGGGATACTTTTATTGTTACTGGGATACTTTTATTGTTACTGGGATACTTTTATTGTTACTGGGATACTTTTATTGTCACTGGGATACTTTTATTGTTACTGGGATACTTTTATTGTTACTGGATACTTTTATTGTCACTGGGATACTTTTATTGTTACTGGGATACTTTTATTGTTACTGGGATACTTTTATTGTTACTGGGAAACTTTTATTGTTACTGGGATACTTTTATTATTACTGGGATACTTTTATTGTCACTGGGATACTTTTATTGTTACTGGGATACTTTTATTGTCACTGGGATACTTTTATTGTCACTGGGATACTTTATTGTTACTGGGATACTTTTATTGTCACTGGGATACTTTTATTGTCACTGGGATACTTTTATTGTTACTGGGATACTTTTTTTTGTCACTGGGATACTTTTATTGTTACTGGGATACTTTTATTGTTACTGGGATACTTTTATTGTCACTGGGATACTTTTATTGTTACTGGGATACTTTTATTGTCACTGGGATACTTTTATTGTTACTGGATACTTTTATTGTCACTGGGATACTTTTATTGTTACTGGGATACTTTTATTGTCACTGGGATACTTTTATTGTTACTGGGATACTTTTATTGTTACTGGGATACTTTTATTGTTACTGGGATACTTTTATTGTCACTGGGATACTTTTATTGTTACTGGGATACTTTTATTGTCACTGGGATACTTTTATTGTTACTGGGATACTTTTATTGTCACTGGGATACTTTTATTGTCACTGGGATACTTTTATTGTTACTGGGATACTTTTATTGTCACTGGGATACTTTTATTGTTACTGGGATACTTTTATTGTCACTGGGATACTTTTATTGTTACTGGGATACTTTTATTGTCACTGGGATACTTTTATTGTTACTGGGATACTTTATTGTTACTGGGATACTTTTATTGCCACTGGGATACTTTTATTGTCACTGGGATACTTTTATTGTTACTGGGATACTTTTATTGTCACTGGGACAGGTCGCTCCTGTCTGTCTCAACTATTAGATCACTACGACAAGGTCCTAAATGCACTAGAAGACAAAAAGAATGCAGATGTAATATATACAGACTTTGCCAAAGCCTTCGACAAGTGTGACCATGGCGTAATAGCGCACAAAATGCGTGCTAAAGGAATAACAGGAAAAGTCGGTCGATGGATCTATAATTTCCTCACTAACAGAACACAGAGAGTAGTCGTCAACAGAGTAAAGTCCGAGGCAGCTACGGTGAAAAGCTCTGTTCCACAAGGCACAGTACTAGCTCCCATCTTGTTCCTCATCCTCATATCCGACATAGACAAGGATGTCAGCCACAGCACCGTGTCTTCCTTTGCAGATGACACCCGAATCTGCATGACAGTGTCTTCCATTGCAGACACTGCAAGGCTCCAGGCGGACATCAACCAAATCTTTCAGTGGGCTGCGGAAAACAATATGAAGTTCAACGATGAGAAATTTCAATTACTCAGATATGGTAAACATGAGGAAATTAAATCTTCATCAGAGTACAAAACAAATTCTGGCCACAAAATAGAGCGAAACACCAACGTCAAAGACCTGGGAGTGATCATGTCGGAGGATCTCACCTTCAAGGACCATAACATTGTATCAATCGCATCTGCTAGAAAAATGACAGGATGGATAATGAGAACCTTCAAAACTAGGGAGGCCAAGCCCATGATGACACTCTTCAGGTCACTTGTTCTATCTAGGCTAGAATATTGTTGCACTCTAACAGCACCTTTCAAGGCAGATGAAATTGCCGACCTAGAAAATGTACAGAGAACTTTCACGGCGCGCATAACGGAGATAAAACACCTCAATTACTGGGAGCGCTTGAGGTTTCTAAACCTGTATTCCCTGGAACGCAGGAGGGAGAGATACATGATTATATACACCTGGAAAATCCTAGAGGGACTAGTACCGAACTTGCACACGAAAATCACTCACTACGAAAGCAAAAGACTTGGCAGACGATGCACCATCCCCCCAATGAAAAGCAGGGGTGTCACTAGCACGTTAAGAGACCATACAATAAGTGTCAGGGGCCCGAGACTGTTCAACTGCCTCCCAGCACACATAAGGGGGATTACCAACAGACCCCTGGCAGTCTTCAAGCTGGCACTGGACAAGCACCTAAAGTCAGTTCCTGATCAGCCGGGCTGTGGCTCGTACGTTGGTTTGCGTGCAGCCAGCAGCAACAGCCTGGTTGATCAGGGGCTGATCCACCAGGAGGCCTGGTCACAGACCGGGCCGCGGGGGCGTTGACCCCCGAAACTCTCTCCAGGTAAACTCCAGGGATACTTTATTGTTACTGGGATACTTTTATTGTCACTGGGATACTTTTATTGTCACTGGGATACTTTTATTGTTACTGGGATACTTTTATTGTCACTGGGATACTTTTATTGTTACTGGGATACTTTTATTGTTATTGGGATACTTTTATTGTCACTGGGATACTTTTATTGTCACTGGGATACTTCATTGTTACTGGGATACTTTTATTGTCACTGGGATACTTTTATTGTCACTGGGATACTTTTATTGTTACTGGGATACTTTTATTGTTACTGGGATACTTTTATTGTTACTGGGATACTTTTATTGTCACTGGGATACTTTTATTGTCACTGGGATACTTTTATTGTTACTGGGATACTTTTATTGTCACTGGGATACTTTTATTGTCACTGGGATACTTTTATTGTTACTGGGATACTTTTATTGTCACTGGGATACTTTTATTGTCACTGGGATACTTTTATTGTTACTGGGATACTTTTATTGTTACTGGGATACTTTTATTGTCACTGGGATACTTTTATTGTCACTGGGATACTTTATTGTTACTGGGATACTTTTATTGTCACTGGGATACTTTTATTGTTACTGGGATACTTTATTGTTACTGGGATACTTTTGTTACTGGGATACTTTTATTGTTACTGGGATACTTTTGTTGTTACTGGGATACTTTTATTGTTACTGGGATACTTTTATTGTCACTGGGATACTTTTATTGTCACTGGGATACTTTATTGTTACTGGGATACTTTTATTGTCACTGGGATACTTTTATTGTCACTGGGATACTTTTATTGTCACTGGGATACTTTTATTGTCACTGGGATACTTTATTGTTACTGGGATACTTTTATTGTCACTGGGATACTTTTATTGTTACTGGGATACTTTTATTGTTACTGGGATACTTTTATTGTTACTGGGATACTTTTATTGTTACTGGGATACTTTTATTGTCACTGGGATACTTTATTGTTACTGGGATACTTTTATTGTCACTGGGATACTTTTATTGTTACTGGGATACTTTATTGTTACTGGGATACTTTTGTTACTGGGATACTTTTATTGTTACTGGGATACTTTTATTGTTACTGGGATACTTTTATTGTCACTGGGATACTTTTATTGTCACTGGGATACTTTATTGTTACTGGGATACTTTTATTGTCACTGGGATACTTTTATTGTTACTGGGATACTTTTATTGTCACTGGGATACTTTATTGTTACTGGGATACTTTTATTGTCACTGGGATACTTTATTGTCACTGGGATACTTTTATTGTTACTGGGATACTTTTATTGTCACTGGGATACTTTATTGTTACTGGGATACTTTTATTGTCACTGGGATACTTTTATTGTCACTGGGATACTTTTATTGTCACTGGGATACTTTTATTGTCACTGGGATACTTTTATTGTTACTGGGATACTTTTATTGTTACTGGGATACTTTATTGTTACTGGGATACTTTTATTGTCACTGGGATACTTTATTGTTACTGGGATACTTTTATTGTCACTGGGATACTTTTATTGTTACTGGGATACTTTATTGTTACTGGGATACTTTTATTGTTACTGGGATACTTTTATTGTCACTGGGATACTTTTATTGTCACTGGGATACTTTTATTGTCACTGGGATACTTTTATTATCATCATTGGAGTACTTTTATTATCACTGGAATACTTTTATTATCACTGGAATACTTTTATTATATTCACTGGAATACTTTTATTATCATCATTGGAATACTTTTATCATCATTGGAATACTTTTATTATCATCATTGGAATACTTTTATTATCATTGGAATACTTTTATTATCATCATTGGAATACTTTTACCATTGGTTACAAACTGTCTCATAAACTCATAAAGTTCACGTCATATCACAAAACAATAATTGCTATTTTCTTCTTTGTGTGTTGATAATTATCTATAACTATGTTCACTCTGGAAACATTTCGCCAGCCAGTGACTTCTTCAGTCCAATGCGGAGAAAGATGGAAGATGAGGAGGAGGTTGAGGTAAACAGTCTTCTAAACCATTTAATCACATTATTCAAGCATGTTGTTTATATTCAGGAACTTCGTCGCCGATCCAGCTGATAGAACTGGCCGGCCGGCTGAGGGATCGACTCAATGAGAACCTGTTTATTTATGCTGTGTCTTTCGTCATCCTTCATAAACAGGTAATAATCTTCTTCAACACGTTGCCACTGGACATAGTCTTGCACCATCTTGTTCACTGGGACATTTATAAAAGTGTTTTAAGGCAAAGACTTGAATATTGTGAATTATCCGAAAATATTTGCTTCAGGTGATGCAAGTACAGTGAGGTAGATACACCAGATATGACAATATACCAGGTATAACAATACCGATAAATATTGGAATAAAGGTATGTGCAAAATTAAAGGACATGATATTAGATTTATCGCCCACAGGGGACAATAATCAAATCGAATTTAGCCTAACCTAATCTACGTAAAATATATCGTGTGTGAAAACCTAGTGTTGCTGCACTTTTTCAATAAAAATCACAGAAAAGAGCAAATAATATATACTGGGCAGAGATCAGACATCAATAAGGACTAAGAATAGAGTAGAAACATAAAGAATATGAAACTAGCAAGTTTTGACATTACAGTTCTCTTCCCCAATGTACCCACCATGTAAGTAGTGACCATATTATGTAACAAGGTCACTAACGACACGACTCTCTGGGATCCGAGCAAAATCTGACATCGTATCAATTATAGTTGCTCTTGTTTTACGGAAAATAACTATAGATTGTTTAGGAATGACCACTGGTTCCCCCCCCCCCCCTCCCGTGCCGGGTTATATGTGGAGCACCTGGAATCACTGTATTTCAAATCCCTCATCTCCAGCAATATGTCCGTATTATTTAGATAACATGTTGACTTTTTATCCCTGAAGACTCGACATCAACAATGTGATAACCAGAATCATCAGTGCAGAACCTTCCATTAAATTTACTCTCGATGAGAAAAGAGGAGAGTAAATTTCACTTCTTGTATGTCCTCCTAGGCACAGTGAACGTATTTTCCAAGAATACTCTAAACCCACGAACAAGGACGCCCTGGTACATCTTTTTTTTTTCTGTCACGTCGTTACACTCATAGTAAAAGAGGCGTCGTCATCAGGTTCTTCCCGAAAGTCCATAGGATTTACAGCCCACAATCCTCAAAGAGCGTGACCACATTTTAGAAGTATTTACACACTTCCAGCTTCCTCTAAATTTTACGTGAGTGAAGAAAGTGTGGCTACCACATTATCAACACAGCCACAGAGGAACGTTAAGTAGCCAGGTGTGTTGTTCTGTCAGTGAGCAAGGTGGCCAGTCACGTTGTTCAAACTCTAGCTAATCACAAATTGAATGCGACTATCAACTCGTCATCCATCATTAAAGATTTGTTAAACAAGATACCTATCAGGGTGGCTGAGAATATGCCATCCTTTGTGGTGGATGTGGTAAGGTTTGTGTGAATAAAACAGCCAGAACTATGGATGAAAAACCGATGTGTCACAAATATGCGTGTTGCAGAGACAACCTAGAGAGCACCTGCTTAGTTCATCACGACTCAGGACACCCGATAAGTGGACAGAAACTTGGTTATTGCTAAAGGAAAGGAATCTGCAGAAACATCGCATTGTTGAGTCATCACTGATCGCGACATCCAAAACAGTGGCCCTAAGCTTTGGAAATGTTAGCGTACTGTCCTCACTAGACTGATCTTACATTGTGGCGATGAAGGATTATTATTATTATTAAAATCAAGGGGGGAGCGCTAAACCCGGAGGATTATGCAGCGCCTGGGGGGATGTAGAAGGCTTTCAGGCTTAATTCGGGGAACTGGAGCACAGATCCAACTCCCTAAATCAAAAGCCCCTCACCAACATTAAGGATTATTATTATTATAATCAAAAAGAAGCGCTAAGCCACACCAACATTAAGGAACCTTCCTTGAGGGGGGCGATGAAGGAACAAGTGGCTCGCACCAGCACCTAACCTCGTCGTACTGACTCCACATGATTCGCCCAACCTCTGACTTTTATATATATTCTGCATTTTTCTTTTCACTATACTGATAAAGCCTCCAACGAGCTGAACCTCTAAAACAATGTCCTAAGTTACATATGTATCTTTATTCAGTGACGCTACATGACAAGTCAGTTGATTTGCAACTCCATTGTTTATTTTGTTACCTCTGTATTCATTGTTAAGGATATTAAAATTTAGTTGAATTATTTCATCTTTCATATGTTTTAAACAGAATTTCTGTCGTGTGATAATGGCGACAAAATCCATAGCAAAAGTTGAAAACTCTAATTATTTCATAAGAATGCATAATAAACATGCTTTTTCCCTCAGACATCACTAAATAAACAAATTTGTTTAGGGTGGTAATGCTTATCGGCCCAAAATTTCTATTTGATTTCATCTGTTCATTCATATTCATTTGCCTTCATATTTTGTATTTAGGAATTTCGAAATCTTCGTCTGCCGTCGATCGTGGAAGTGTTTCCGCACAAGTTCGTGCCGGCTGAAGAGCTGACGAAGATGCAAGTGACGGTGAACAAACTGCCCCCTAACCAGGTGTGTATAAATCTTCCATAGGAGCTCCTGGGCACGGATGTATACACTGAAAGGTGTATGTCTCTCAGTGTATACATTTCAGTGTATGCCTCTCAGTGTACCAACACTGAGAGTTTGATCCCAATTTTAGGGATTAAAGTATTAACCATACCCCCGGCCGGGATTGAACCCGCGGTCATAGAGTCTCAAAACTCCAGCCCGTCGCGTATTCTTGACTGAACAGTTTACATGTAGCCTTAACGACCCTCGTGTACTTGACACGCATTAACTATTGGTTTACAATAACACACATAATAGCAGTGTGGTAGGGAGGCAAATATAGACAAAAAAAAATGTCCTTATTTCAGTGCAGCATCTTATTACACAGCGTTTTCCTTGAAGGTGGTTTCTCTCAGGTCATACAGAGGGACTCACCAACCTTCCTTACATCCTCCAGCTGGTGAGATGTAGTGATGCCAAGGTAGGTGCAGGATGTCACTAGTTCAGGTCCTGTTGCCAAGTGTTGTGATGACGAAAAGAGGAATGAATCTGAAATGTCACGAGATTAACGTACATGCCTGTTTACGTTGGATGAGCCTTGCTGGGGGACGCAGGGAGGGAGAGGTGGTTGTGGGTCGGGGGTGATTGCTATGCTGAACACATCCTGGTTCTGATCTATGTTGTTACGAGTTATAAGGGCTGTTGCTTCCAGTTTCACAGCTCCTGGTCCTTTTAAAAGTGTTGATCTATAGATCCTAGGCCTCTTGAAAGTGTCAAGCTACAGGTGCTAGGCTTCCTGAGGATACTGAGCTGAAGATTCTAGATTTCTTGCGGGTGTTGGCCTTCTGCTTCTGGTCCTCTTGGGATGTGAAAGAGGGTTGAACTTAAGTTTATAGGTCTCCTTACGGAGTTGAACTTTAGAATCTCTGCCTCTTGAGGGTTATTAAGTACAAGAGGCTTCTGTTATGGGATCACACAACAAAAGATTAGTTTAAAGGCCACTTAATTTAAATGCAATCAATAATTCGCACCCAAGATATTTTTAACTTTTACTAAAAGTTTAGTTGGCAGAGGTCAAGTTATATCTCGTCTTTAACTTGTACCTTATTCACTCCGGTGGAAGACAAAATGTAACTCAGAGTAATTATAATAAATCAGTCAATACAGGTCTTTTTTTAATTTCTTTTGAGGTTGTGTATGTCAAATATATTTATGGAGTTTCTCACACATTAAATTATGCAGGAGAAACAGTGTGACTGAACCATCGCCATTTGGCCAAGATTCAATGATCCAACTTGTGTTGAATATGTATGTTGAAGCTCAATTACTGGAATCATGAGCGTCAGTAGTATGTTATAGATGGGCAAGAGGTGCATAATGAAACCAAACAACAACGTACAGGAAACCTATGTCCTATAAGCCTATGGAACGACCAGTACACTCCATATTGGAGACGCATATGCAACAGTCAGGTACCTTTATTCCGAAACGTTTCGCCTATACAGTAGGCTTCTTCAGTCGAATACAGAAGAGTTTGGCAGAAACAGTAGAGATGTGAAGACGATGTAATCAGTCCATCATCCTTGAAGACGTAGTTTTGAGGTGGTCAGTCCCTCAGCCTGGAGAAGAGTTTGGCTCCATAGTCTGGAATAGTGTGAAGTTTAAGCAGCAGTATGGAGACTTATAAACTGTCAGTATTATATACTATTTTCATATTCACTCTGTCAAGACACTGCAACAAAACCGTCTCTTTGTACAGTAAACACCTTTGACAACTTTTTCAAGTGAAAAGCGATGGATTTGAGAGGGACCTGACCTCTCAATGATGACCTTTCTTACACTAGTGAACTGCATCTCACTTTCCGACAGTATATAAGTCTCCATACTGCTGCTTAAACTTCACACTGTTCCAGACTATGGAGCCAAACTCTTCTCCAGGCTGAGGGACTGACCACCTCAAAACTACGTCTTCAAGGGTAATGGACTGATTACATCGTCTTCACATCTCTACTGTTTCTGCTAAACTCTTCTGTATTCGACTGATGAAGCCTTCTGTGTAGGCGAAACGTTTTGGAATAAAGATACCTAACTGTTGCACATGTGTCTTACTTATCTACCTGTCGGCATTATACACTATTTTCATATTCACACTCCATATTCTCTCTCATCTAATGGTTATAATTATAACCAGCGGAAGGCCTCGATCAGATAACCAAAAGCTCCAGCTGCGGGTTATCACATGACTGAAGTCCCACGTCACGTAACACTTGATCTCCTTTCTGACAAACCTAACCTAACCACACTCCATGTACCACCTCATTCTCAACACCACTTGTGATTTTTCACTTTTATATTGTGCCCACATTTACTATTTATAAAAAAAAAATTGTTGAAAGGCATATTTACACAATCCAAGCTAAAGTAGCTTATGTTAACAATCCCAGTCAAGTCTATTGTTTTAGTTGGTAAAGAATAATTAGATGAATATTTTAAAAACGGCATTTGTTAGGTAAAAAGGCCAAATGTCCAATTAATGCTTCATTTTTTATTGTGACAATGTTTCGCTCTCCAGGAGCTTTGTCAAGCCGGCTTGACAAAGCTCCAGGAGAGCGAAACGTTGCCACAATAAAAATGTCTCGTAAGTTACACGTGTGTTTTTTACCTGACATATTGTCGGTAATTCTACCAACATTGTTACAACAATTAACGTAATAGATTTCAAAGCTTTTATACAAGAAAATAATGATAAGTATTATGAACTAATTCAATGTGATTTATATTACTGAACAATTTTCCTTTCAGAGTAGAAACTGTATTGTGTCAACACCAGCAACCAACAACACTGTTAGTCGGTTAGGTTAGGCAAGATTATCATGAAACAGGACAAATGTTTCCTGACGCGGGTCTTAGTCACATGATAACCAGCAATTGGAGCTTGTGGTCATCTGACTCAGTCCTTCCACTGGCTTACCAGTCCACTTCTTTAAATATTATGGAATTAGTTTCTTAAAATGTGATCACAAACTTCAATTAGTAATATTTTTGTTGTCCCTGCTTATAGGAAGCACAATTGGTGATCGAATACGGACCTGAATTTGCAAGCACCAACCTGAAGCCCGAACACCGGGTGTCATACTGGAGGGAGGACTATGGTATCAACTCTCATCACTGGCACTGGCACCTCGTCTACCCTGCTGAGATGGATGTTCCCGGGGACCGTAAAGGTGAACTCTTCTATTACATGCATCAACAAATGGTCGCCAGGTAAGAGGTTCGCTACTCGTTTTTTTGCATTTCCTGCCCGAAATGCTTAGGCATGCTAGTGGCCTTCTTTGTAATTAATATTTTAAAAGGGAATAAACATTGTCATTGTATGTTAGGTTCTGTGTCTACCCCCCCCCCTCCCCACATTGAGGTTTTAACTTTATTTTGTGACTGGAATGTAGATTTTTTTCAAAACGCGTCATAAAAATCATGTGAGATTTTTGAAAACTTTGTATTTAATGAAGGAAAAACAAATATTCAAATGCCTTGCCAAATATTCGGAGGCAAAGACGTGAGAATAAAAAAAATATATGTATATATATATTTAAAGTTACATTCAAACTCGGTGAAGCAGCTCCGCTTGACCTCTCCCAGGTACGACATGGAAAGACTCAGTGTTGATCTCAACCGTGTGGAAAAGCTGGAAAACTGGCGAGTGCCCATCAGTGATGGCTACTTCTCCAAGCTCACTTCTAATAACTCCGGCAGAGCTTGGGGTACCCGCCAGGATGACTCACTCATGAAGGTTGGTGCGTGTGCGTGTGTGTGTGTGTGTGGAACACACACCCATCATGTTATTATCATGTCTAATATAATAATAATAATTATTATTATTATTATTATTATTATTATTAGTAGTAGTAGTAGTAGTAGTAGTAGTAGTAGTAGTAGTAGTAGTAGTAGTCCTAGTAGTATTACTATTATAATCATATTAAGAGCTAAACAAGAAAGGGTCATGCAGCAGATGTCATTATCACAGCAGTGTCATTATTGCCGTCATGGGGAAGCACCAAACCCGTGAAGGCCATGAGGGAGGTCATGAGCTGTGATCACAGATGGGGAGACAGTTCACATTCCATGGACAGGAATATTAGAACCTGGCCTTGCTACACTGTCACAACTTTAACATGTGGCTGGGAAGTCACCGTTCAAGTGTTATTTGTATTGCTAGCGTATATTATTTATCTGTTTTCAGGATTTCAGACGTACTGACTTCGGACTGGAATTTATAGACATCACTGTCATGGAAATCTGGATGTCCCGACTAATGGATGCCATTCATCAAGGATATATGATAAACGTAGGTATCCAGATGAGTCTTCTTGAAGAATTAGACACGTGCAGAATCTGGGCATCTTTATTTGTAGCTGTTTCGCCATCCAGTGGTTCTGTTAATACAAATTCAGTGAAATAATGGGAAAACTGTAGAACTATACACAAAACTGGCAATTAGTCCCTCAGCAATAGAGTTCTACAGTTTTACCATTATAGCCTTGACTCACGAAATCGTAATGACACGATTGCAAACAAACCATCGCGGAGTCTATCCCCGCCCGTGGTATGGTTTATAGCCTTGAATTTGTATTGATAAAGCCACTGGATGGCGAAACGTCTACAAATAAAGATGCCCAGATGTTGCACATGTATCTAATTCTTCAATTTTGTCTGTATTGTATACCATTCATGTACAGCGAGCCTAGTCTTGCTTCAGTGGTGGGTTAAAACGTTTGCTTTTGTAGTTTCAATACACATTAATGCTGAAACAAATATAACTGAAAGTAATTAGAGGAAAAAACTTGCAAAAAATTTAAGCTGAATAGGTAATGATAGTACGCTTGAACTCCCCTAACAGAGAAATGGTGATAGAGTCCCTCTCTCGGATAACGTCACAACAGGAAAGTTAGGGATTGAAATCTTAGGAGATGCGTTTGAGGCAGATGCTTCACTAAGTCCCAACGCTCTGTTCTACGGTGATCTTCACAACCTGGGCCACTTAATGATTGCCTTCACTCATGACAACGACGGTGCACATAAGGTAACTAAACCTTTTTTTCTATCAAAGTATTACCTATAGAGGCTACGTTGTTACGTAGCCTCGCCAACGTCTGTTAGTCTGACGAAGGTTAATGGTCCAAGTCGGACCAAACGTCGTCATAATTTTCACCCTCCTATGTGCGGGTTGTTTATGTATCAGAGGTTTTGGTGTGTGTGTGTGTGTGTGTGTGTGTGTGTGTGTGTGTGTGTGTGTGTGTGTGTGTGTGTGTGTGTGTGTGTGTGTGTGTGTGTGTGTGTGTGTGTGTGTGTGCGATGCTTGCCTCTGCTTCTAAGCAGCGTCTGTTGCAAGCAAACATCACAGGTTTTGAGTAATAAAATGAATTGGTCAAATCTAGGTGAAAATTATGGTATGACCAAAACCTTAAAATTTTCATTTTTTTTTTTCTACAAATAAACTCTATGCGCACTTCTGGGTACATCGCCATAACACAATGCAATTCCGCAAACCCATACAAGTGATAGTATATTGCACCATTACACAAGATAAATTACAAGGTCAAGCTTACATATTGGTGCAGTAAGTTAAGGAACAGTGCGCATTACTTAGCTGTCAGGAATCTAAGTAAAAAAAATCAAGCAGAGATTGAACCACCAACAAACGAAGTACCCAAGTGGCGTCACAGTGGCTAAGTTCCAGTAGCAGATAATAGTAAGTTTACACACGACCTAGCATACTGAAACTAAGTGTTACTCGTGAAATATTGTGCGAAGTATGTGTTTGTGTGTGAGGAGGTGTTTATGGATACTCTGAAAGAAAGCTAAGAATGTTTATGGATTCTATGAGCGAAACTTAGTGGCCACCTTTCCTCCCAGAAGCAAAGATAACAATTACGTTAATACGAGATTCAGCACTAGACAACTCACTGAACATGACAGCCACAATCTCAGTAAAAAAAGTCCCCATACGACATAGTGTACAAACAAAACCACTCTTGTTACTGACCACAATGACACTGAGTAAAAAAAAAGTAACAGTAGATAGTATGGGAATACCGAAGTTAATGAAGGTACATCGACTTCGGTAATGCCAAACGAGTCATCAGGGAATGTAACCCTTGTAGTAAATGTTGTTAGAGTCATCACTCATCTCAACCTCCAGCATCATAACACAAAATACAGGGTTAATCCTCAGATTCGAAATACTCTCAAAAGGCATTCTGCCCAAGCAGGAAGGTAAGGTAAGGTTTGTCAGAAACAAAACAAGTGTTTCCTGATGGTGTATTCCAGTCGAAAATCCACTCCAGTCCTGGCCTATTTTTATATAATATCTTCGATTTTAATTAGTAACAGATTTTACCTTCACTAGCTCCTGCTGCAGGTCATCTTATGACCTGCAGCAGGAGATTTTGGTCATCTGACCGATGCCTTCCGCTGGTTTACCGGTTTGCCCTTTAAAAATTTTGGTTATGATTATAACCATTCAGTACAACTCCCAAGCAGGACGTATCCATCCAACTTAACGCAGCTCACCTCGCTCGTCTCTGTTCGGATTGAAAAAAAAGGCTATTGCAAAAAAGTATACCCCCTACCAACTGAGCGTCATGTTGTTATACAACTGGTATAACTGTGTGAAGCTGATGGGTAGTGTTATGCCCCACTCCATGAATTTCACAAATTCGTGAATAACACTACACTCACACACACATTTGTATTAAAATGCACCAAAATGGTTAGGCCATTTACCTTTATTACTCCATCTCCACTACCCCCACCCACCCTATCCCCATATTTCCATCTTTACTCGTCCTTCCTTCCTCATCTTACCAAAACTGGTCATAACTCGTATTGAAAACATCCCTGGCGAGAGTAATGTCTTCTTAATAAACGTTTTAAAATCCGCATACGGATTTGTTTACACCATTTCTTTAATTCATTCTTACAGGGTATAGTAGGTTCCAGCATCTGTATTAATACATTCTTACAGGGTATAGTAGGTTCCAGCATCTGTATTAATACATTCTTACAGGGTATAGTAGGTTCCAGCATCTGTATTAATACATTCTTACAGGGTATAGTAGGTTCCGGCATCTGTATTAATACATTCTTACAGGGTAGGGTAGGTTCCAGCATGTGCTTTAATACATTTTTTCTGATTAATGTTATGAACTGTACATCATTCTAAACAAACCTTATTTCTAAATCCTGCTTTGCAGTATATGTTACCTATAAATAATCGTGATACCCTTTATCAAGGCTTTTTTTTTTAGCAAACAATACTTGTTCTCCATTAATCCTAAGGTCATCTAATTACTGTTTCAATTAAAATCTTAGCTATAATTTCTATCTTTCATGATCTTCTTACAAATATATTTTACGGCTATTGTGTAAATTGGCACAGATTAGATAAATTATAATTCAGCTAGAAAAATTAATCATCCTAGGAAGAGATTTGTATACACAAATATTGTTGTAACAGGAGGAGATTGGAGTGATGGGAGACTCGGCGACCGCCATGAGGGACCCAGTATTCTACCGTTGGCACAAGTTCGTTGACGGCATCTTTCAGGAGTACAAGATGACACAACCACCATACACCCTGGAGGATGTAAGTATAGTGCTTCGTAGATGATGCAAAAGACTGTTGTTTCATATTATTATTATTATAATCAAAAAGAAGCGCTAAGCCACAAGGACTATACAGCGCTGCAGGGCAGGAAGGAAGCGAGGGCATCAGGTGGCAAAAGGGAGATGGATGAGTAATAGGTTACGGATAACAGCGGGGCAGTAGATGGTGAAAGGGTAAAGGGCAGCAAGAGACTGAACTAGAAAGGGCTGAGGGGAGTGCGAAAAGTATCATCAGAGTTTGTGGAGTAAATCAGTCGTTGTCAAGAAGTCAATGAGAGAGTCAGGATTAAAGGAGGGTCCATCAGCAAGAAGGGAAGGTAAAGAGAGTAGTAGAACGAAGACGACGTTGGAGGTAAATTCTGCGTGCTCGTTGATAGAGAGGGCAGTCTAACAGAATGTGGCTAATCGATACTGGAACTTGACACTGCTCACAGAGAGGAACAGGGTGCCTCTCCATGAGATACCCATGAGTAAGACGAGTGTGGCAAATGCGAAGGGGGGAGAGAGTGGCCCCCCAACCCCGGGCCACGATGACAAAAAAGAGGGCCATTAACCCTTTATGCTGGGTTTAATAAATAAAGGGTTTGTTACCGACAATTTTGCCCCAACGGTTTTGCCAAGGGGTGCGAAGGGGGAAAACTTTTTCCCGCAAAATACCCCAGAAAGGGAACCCCTTTCATAGGAAATTGGGGGGTTTCATTTTCTGCGACCGCGCGGGCATGTCCCCTGTTCATTGCCCTGTACGCGACTTGACCGGGGACCCAAAAAAAAAACAATTCTTTATGTTTGGTAAAGATCGGCAAGCAAATTTGGATACGGAGAACTGGGGGAATGAATTTTAAAATTTTTTTCGTATACCCTTTTAAAAGCACAAAGGGGGAGCCCTGAACACTACAAAGATGACATGGGGCAAAGATGCGATACAAAAGGGTTTTGCAAAAGGGGCATACATTTCACCCAAAAAAAAATGCTAACTGAAATATAAATCCCCACATGACGCTGTCCAAACACTCTGCAATTTCCAACCCCCTTTCTAAAAGACTTTGAGCCACCCTTTTACACAGGGGTTTGGAAAGGGAAAAAGGGGAGTGGAATGATCAAAAAAAGAAGGGGGAAACCCCCCCTGGGCCCGTTGAGCTTTCGAGAAAGGGGAGTGAAAAAAAACAGACCCAACAGCGGGAAATTCCCAGGGGGGGGGGGAAAAAAGTGAGATGCTACATAAACTTTTAAAGGGTAACTGGGGGGAAGACAAAGTAATGTAGGCAAAGGGAAAAAGGGGAGGGAAAAACCAGGGCGGCGAACGAAAAAAAAAAGAATTTTTCTAAAATGGGGGAAACCTTTCTATAAATGGAAGATTGGTAGATCGTGAGAGCGACAAGTACGAAGGAAAGGGGAAACTACATCAGAAAAGGAGGGACATTTGCTTCGGGTATAGGGGCTCTCAACAGGGAAGAGGGGAAAAGGGCCCCAAAGGGCAAAAAACGTAACCCCTTGGGTGATGGAAGATTTAAAGGCTAAGAGATACAAGAGGCCGGGGGAAAAATTTCTGGTCCCCCAATAAATCGAGTTTCGATAAAACGAGGGCTGAATGTAGGAAGCAAGTTTTCGACGTTTCACCCTCCCCAGAAAGATGAGAAAGGGTTTTAAAAAGGGGGTTTAGGGGCTGTGACAAGTTCCCTTTCAAAAGGTAATGTGGGGTTTTTCCAAAGGAAAAACCGAACGGGGCCCAAAAGAAGCCTAAAAACCTGAAAAACACTTTGGGGATACGGAGCCATAGGATACAAATTCAAAAGATAAAAGAGCGCTAGTGAAAGAATTTTTTGGGGATTTTTTGGTATTTTGGGGGAAAAATTTAAACCCTTTGTATTGGCCCAAGGGGAAAACCACGGTCGACCGCATGCTGAGAGAAACTGCAAAAAGGTAAACAGTCACCGCCTGCAAAAGCAATACGAATCTCACATGATGATGCCCAAAATTTTGGGTGGAAGAACGACCCAAATCATTTATAGAAAGGAAAAAAGGTTTTGCCTTAGAACACATCCCTAGGACACCTTCATTTTGGACAAGTCCGGGGAAAGAAAAATATTGACTCGAACAGGGAAAATTTCTGTCATTTAAAAAGTTTTTTAAAGGGAAGGGAAAAGGGTAGATTTGCCTCGGAGGCCAAGGGAAAGGGGCCGGGGCCAAAAAATTTTAATCCTCCAATTTGTGCATATGCCTTCTAAAGGTAAAAAAAATTTTGCAAATAACGGAGAATTATTCGAAAAGGGCTTTAACAACATCCGATCCAACAGAAAGGGGGTTAAAGGGGTAGAACAAACCCTTACAAAAAAAGCCATATTGACTAGGGGAGAGACTGTTGTGAGCCCTTAAATCCCACTTTAAAAACCCTCTTTTGACGAAGGCGTTCCATAACTTTGAAAAACTGCACTAGAAAGGGAGCGAGGGGCGATAGTGGGAGGCACCCATTCCTGTAAAACCCGGGTTTGGGGAAAAGGGGAGAACAATGGCAATTTCCACAGCGGGGGAAAAGAACCCTTGTCCCAAATTTAAGTTTTTGAAGGTGTAAGAGGACTAAAAGGGGCTACCGATGAAAATTTTGTAACATACAAATATAAAATTCGCCCCAGGCCCAGTTTCCAAAGACGAAAAGCTGAGAGCTTTGGCCCCCCAGTTCTTGAAGTGAAAAAGGAAACTTTATACGGTTTCCTGAAGAAGAAAACCCCAAGGGGACAACTCTCGGGCAGATTTTGAGGAAAGAAACGGGGGGAAATAGATGGACCCCCGGGAAATAGGGGAACAAAAATTTTGCCAAGTTCAAGGGCAAGGGCGAGAGGGTTTGCAAACATCAACACCAGTGACCCGTAAACGGGAGCCGGTCAGGAGAGTATTTACCCACTAAATTTTCCCTTTCATTTTTTTCCCAGACGCACTCATAAAGAAGCGGGAGGTGAGGGTGGAAACATAGTCCGCAACAATGCGTTTAGCCCCCAGGGTTTGACCCCGGGGGGAGCGATCGCTTTGCTTCGGTTTAAAAACAACAAGTCTCCCCACATTTCTATTGTACTGTACCTGCCCCATGCAGAAAACTTTCAAACTCCCTGCACGAGCACAAGCGGGAAACCACCAAGGCACGCACTTCGGAGAATGCCGGCCTGGGGTTTGGGGGAATAGAAATGAGAAGCTCGGTTTAAAAATATGTCGAAAGATGTGTAGGAGCTCACAAGGAGGATGAAGAAGGGAAACCCCACTAAAAGCAGTGAGGGGTTTAGTAAAGATCCCAATTTTCCCGACAAAAATTTCCAGCGAGGGCTACGGAAAGGGGGGGAAAAGGGAAAGGGGAAAAAAAAAAATGATCGGAAAAAATCGCTGTATGTAAGTCCTGGGAGAATTTGACCAGTTTAAGTCATGCAGTGGAGGAAGACAACCCGACAATTTGATGAAAAAGAGAGTAAGATAAAAGAGGATCAAAATGGGGGGGGATCCCTAATTTTAAAAAATTTGGGGGGGGTGAGAGGGGGAAAAAACCCCCCAATTTAATGCCAAATTAGTCCCCCAATAGACCCCCCCCCGAGGGGAAAAGGGGGGCAATTTAAAAACACCAAGTAACCCGAAAGGGGGTGGTAAGGATGAAACAAGAAAAGGGAAAGGGCCCGGGTTTGAAAAAAGCCGGGAAAAAAGAAATAAAGAACATATTTTAAAACCCTTTTTCAAGGGATCCGGGGCCCGTGTAATGCAGCGAGGTTAAAAGGACCCAAATTTGTTTTTACAGTACGGGAAAAACCCTTGCGTAGAAGAAGGCACTTTCCAAAAAATCTCATCTGAGAAAAAACTGAAGAATCAATTTAAAATTTTCGCCTGAAATAGGTTTAAAAAAACCGAAGGGAAAATTTTGGTTTTGAAAACAAGCACCAACAGGGAAAACCTGAAAAAACAACATCTGAAGCTCACCCCGATTAAACCCCCGACCGTGGATACCACGGGAAAAAACCCGGGTTTGGGGATGAAAAAAAATATCAGGGAACTTTTAGGGAAAGGGACCTACGGACCCAAGGGGTTTTGAAAAGTCAAGGTGGGGGCATTTTGGGAAATTTTCCCAAATAGCGAAAAATGGAGCCCTTGCGAAGAATGGTTTGTGAAAGGGGGAAGGGGAAAAAAGGAAAAAGGAAAATGAAAAAAGTGGCCATTGAAAGGGTTTTGGCCCTGCAATAATTTTTGAAATGGCTTTAAGTGTTTTTTGAATTCAAAGAGTAGAGACCAATTGGAGATAGGAGGGGGAGGGGGAGTAAAAAATTGGGACTGAATGGACTGTACCAAAAATAAGGGGGAGGGGAAAATTTTAAGGGGCTGGGGATGAATTTTGGGGGGGACAGAAAAGGCAGAAACCGGGGGGGTGGGGAAGAGGGGAAAACCCCCGGGAAAAAGGGGCGGGGGTGGGAAAAGGATAGTACGAGGGAGGGGGGAATTTCCACACTTTTAAAAAGCCAAAAGAGGGGAAGAACTAGGGACAGAGGGCTGGAAAAGGGAAAGTTTTGGGGGGAAGAAAGGGGGGAAGGGAAAAAAATTTGGGGCAAAGTGGGTTTTTTGGACTTCTGAGTAGAAAGGGGGGATTGGTTTTTTATTTTCGAAAGGGGATCTTTTCGATACTGGGGGTTGTGAGGAAAAGGGCGCCAAATTTTAGAAAAGACTGAGTTGTAGTCGGGGGCGTCAAGCCAAGGACAGCAAAAGGGTTAGAGCCGTAGGGGGCAAGGGGGGGGGTAACAACAGAGGAGGGTGCAGAAGAGGGACCCCCAGAAGTGGGGGGGGTGTTTTGGGAAAAAAGAGAATAAAAAACACGGGGATCTCCCTTGGAGGGGCGGGGGATGAGGAAAATTTCCATAGCAAAAGGAGACCTTTTGCCTCCTTTTTAGGGAAAAGGATTTTACGTTCATTTAAGTAGACCCCTGGGAACGGGGAGTACGAAGGGTTACTTCATTACAATTAAGGCCCAAAATGGGGGTTGGGCTGCAAGATGTATTAGAATGGGTTTGTCGCACCACAGACTGGGGATTCGGGCCTAGATCTGCAATTTTTCGCTGGGGGACCAAACGCCAGCAATTTTTACTTGTTGCGGGTAGGTAACACCTTTCGAACTTGTTTAAACCCATGTCCCGCGACATATACAAAGGGCGGGAGTTCTCGGCGTCAAAATTTTAAAAGAGGCCCCAATTTCAAGGGGAACTCTTTTGCCCCCGGGGAGGAAGGACAAAAAGTGTCTACTTGAGGGTTGGGAGATCCTGGGGTTCCCCTGTTTTAAAAATGTCCTTGCCACATGACTGGAAATTCTTTTTGGACTAAAGGGATGGGGAAAAAAATGACAGTACCAATTTCAAGAAGGGGAAAAAAGAAAGTTTTTTTTAATATGTTTGGAGTAGTATCGATTTTTCGAAAAGGGGAAAAAAAGACTGAGCTTGGGTAGCATTCTGGGCAGTGGACATGCGCGTACAGCCCCTTGGAGCGGGGAAATTTTAAAAATCCCTGCCAACATGACCAGGAGCGCTTTGCCCAAAAATTAAGGTCAGAAAGGTAGGCCCGAAAAAAAAGTTGGGGCCCAAAATAAAGAATTTTTTGTCCATTGTTTTGGTCCAAACGAGCGTGGAGGGGAGTGCTTACGTGGGCGGGCTTTTTCCCTTTTGAATGGAAGGGAACGAAGGGGGCACATCAGGGGGTTGACGTTTTGGGGTTTTTGGGGTGGGCCGGGGTTGGGCCGCAAAGAAAAGGGGGGGCGATTCGAAAATTGCCGTTTCCAAAAGAGGGAAAAAAAAAGGGCCGGGAAACATAGTCAAAGGAGAGCGGGGTTCAGACAAATCGAAGGAATTTATCGAAAACCCCGGGAACCCGGGAAACGGGGGAGGAAAAAAGCCCAGCAAGAGGTACAGGGGCTTTAGGAGGTCCCCAAGAGGGTCTAAAAAACAAGGGAGGTCAGAATGGGGGCGGGATCAAAGAAGGGGCCCGGGGAAATTGGTTTTTATGGCTAAAGGGTGCCCTGGTTGGTTTTCCCCTTTGCTTTTTGGGTTTTTTAAAAAAAAAAAAAAAGAAGAAAAAAAAAATAAAAATAAAAAAAAAAAAAAAAAAGGGGGGGGCGGGAGGAAAAAATTCCCAGGAGGAATTTAAAGGGGGGAAATCTCCCCCCGGGCCCCAAAAGGGGCCTCAAAACCGCTAGTAGCGCAAAAGCAAACATGGAACCCCCGGGGCCCTAAACCCCACCCCCTTTAAAGCCCTAAACCAGCCAAACCGGATAGCAACATCACATCTGGGCCCAGCTAAACCCCGGGGGACAAAAGAGAGGGGGGGGCCGGATATCCACCACAAAGCAAAACCTCCTTCGCCACCACCCCCCAAACCGAAAGGTGGGTTCCAGAAGGGTACACCCCTCGCCCAAAAAACACCCAAACTACTCCGGGGTACCCGGGGGGGATCGGGACATCCCCCGGGAATCCAGATTCCCGGGAAAAATACGCCACCCCCAAGAACCTCAAAAATGGGGGTGGACCCCGGTTTTCCTTTCCCCTACCTATTTAAATAGCGCGCCTGTGGGGGGAAATCCCGAAGGGCCAAAAAAAGGGAAGGGGGAAAAGGGGGGTGAGGGGGAGGGGGAGGAGGGAAAGGAAAAAGGGGGGGAAAGGGGGGGAAGGGGGTAGGGGGGGGGAGAATGGGGGTAATTAGGGTTTGGGCTGAGGAAGAAACCGGGCAGGGGGTAATTCCTCAGACCAAGAGCCCTTTACCACCCAAAGAGCCCCCCTTGAAGAGGGTTGTTTTATAATATTTCACATAAAATTTTTGTAATATGAAATATAAGATTTAAAATTCATAACCTAAAGTTGGGGTTTATACTTTTTTCCCGTGTTTTTCCTTTGCCACGCCCCCCGAAAGTGGGTGACAAGGTGGGGTTTTTGGGGGGATAACCCCAAAGAACCCCTCACCCCGGGGTGGGAAACCTACCGATTTTTAGGGGTCCCCGAGGCTGGGTTTCAAAGCTCCTAAAACCCCGTAAAAGCTCCGCATCAAACCCCCCTCGACCACGCCCAAATTTTTCTACCATATTCAGGTATTTTTACTTTTAATTATGTATTGCTCGCCAGATCATTGACTGTGTGCATTCAGTGAGCTTTTTTATGCATTGAGTGCAGTTTAATTCTTAAATAAATGCATAATTTAAAAACGCCTCGAACTTAGTTTTTTCATTTCAATATTAAAGAATCCTGCGTCCTGTATGTAGTACAGTCTAGTGGTGTCTTTATTTTGTTTTCTAAAACGTTTACCTGGAGAGGGTTTTGGGGGCCAACGACCCCCGCGGCTCGGTCTGAGACTAGGCCTCGTGGTGGATCAGGATCTGATGAACCAGGCTATTACTGCTGGCCGCACGCAAGTTGACGTACGAACCACAGGCCGGTTGGTCAGGTACTGACTTTAGGTGCCTGTCCAGTGCCTTCTTAAAGACAGCCAGGAGTCTATTGGTAATCCCCCTTATGTATACTGGGAGGCAGTTAAAGAGTCTTGGGCCCCGGGCACTTATTGTGTTGTCTCTCAATGTACTCGTGACGCCCCTGATTTTCATCGGGAATCTCAACGCCTCTGTTTCTTTTGCCAAATGTTAGAAACACTGTAGCTTGTAACAGAAGGTAAACTATAACATTAACAGATTTGTATACAGAGGGACGTGTGCTGGTCAAATTGATTTTTAAAGAAAATGTTTACAAAATCAGAACCTTGAGCCAAGTCATCATGCATGAAGGTAGCACTTGTACACACACATGATGATGTGAGTTACTTGTACACACACATGATGTGAGTTACTTGTACACACACATGATGTGAGTTACTTGTACACACACATGATGTGAGTTACTTGTACACACACATGATGTGAGTTACTTGTACACACACATGATGTGAGTTACTTGTACACACACATGATGTGAGTTACTTGTACACACACATGATGATGTTACTTGTAATGTGTGTGCTAGGAGAGAGGGGTGTAAATCGTGTAATGTATGGTTCTAAGGAGCTTAATGTGTGTTAATATGTGTAAGGGGTGTAGTCAGGGACGGACCTCAAGTTTAGGGGCCCTGAACCATGAACTGTTACGGGGCCCACCTTCGCAAGCAGCAACGAGGTCTGGGTAATCACTGTTATCGTCTTCAGTGAGGTTGTTCCACCACACATCACCACAAATTTTGTATTATTGTAAATTTAGTATATTTTAAGGTTATATAAGCTTATTCGTGTAAATAAAAAGTTACCGAAATGTTGTCCTTGACAGTGACTTCAAGCAACGTAATATACTTTCATTTTTTTCGATTGCAATTAGCCTAAGATAAATAATTTTAATAATAGTTTTAATTTCTATCATAAATGTTTATAGTGTTTTAAATTAATTTATAATTATTTTATATTTAATATATTGAGAATGAAACATCCTTAATTATTAATAATATTAAAAAAAAAAACTCATACAATAGACCCAAAATGTTTAAGAAATGTGGACTAAAGTGGCTTCTGGGCCCCTCCGGAATTAGGGGCCCTGAAGCTTAAGCTTTATTAGTGTTATAGTAGATCCGCTCTGGGTGTAGTGCAGTGTACTCGGTTACACTGCATATTACTAATATCTTTTCAGGTAAGATAGAATTATTTTTTACATCTGAAGGTAGAAAAGAATTTGTTACACATTCAAAGACATGATTATGAACTGGCAGTGCCTCTTCTGGAGGAAATGCACGTACGTATAAGGTTGTTACACTCTCAGGTAACCAACTCGGGAGCAGCTCCGAAGAAGGTGACGGTGAGAATCTTCATTGCTCCCAAGCACAACGTGCGGGGTCTGGAGATGAGCTTCATGGAGCAGCGTCTCCTCTGGTCAGAGATGGATAAGTTCACAGAAACCTGTAAGTTATGCCATGCATCGTTGACCTTTAATTTACATTACTATTCTGCTCGCTGTCTACAAAGGCTTTCCCATAAGAATAGATGACCTCTGCAGTAGACACATTAGTCAGGTTCCTCTCACACCCAGCCACTCTCATTCGTATATTTGTCTAGCCTGTTTTTAAAGCTACAGAAGATGCTAGCTTCAATGTCGTTACTTGGCAGTTTGTTCCACTCATGCTATGCCACACTCTTTGCGTATTATTAAGGTACCGCAGAAGGAGGACTTCTAAGTAGTTGCCTGAATTTTTTGTTCCTCCTGTTTTCTATTTTATTACGCTAATAACTCGAGAACCCCTCATCCGATCGGATTAAAATTTAGAGCACTTGTGTACGGTAACGAAGACTCAATTCTAGAGACAACTGGCTTCTGCAGGTTTTGTATGACAAAAGTTATTGACCTCATTCCCAGCATCCTGGAATGGCTCGGGTAACTTCCTAACTCCTCAGTGGCAAAACTTCAGGTGTTCCAAAAATGGTGTTTTCTAATTCAACACGGTAAGTAAAATTAAAGTGTTTGATGCACATCTGAACTTTAATTGTGAAATTTTGACTTTTTGATTTCTTCAGTCACCATGAAAAAATTTATGCGCTTCCCGTTCTAAAGGGGGCTTCATATTTAAGGGGTATGCGTTTTAGGGCTACGATAGTACCATTTCACTTTATTTTTGGTGGGCAAATTTGTTAAGCCTAAATATTTTTTTTTGAAATTGAATCGGGGGAAACTTATAAAATTTGGGGCTGTTTGAATGGCACAAAAATTTTTTTGATAGGATTGAGAGAATTCAAAATAATACAACAATAAAAAAAAATAATTTGAAAAGAATTAAAAGTTTTGTTGTTGGTAATTTTATCTCAAAAAATAATGTGTATTGTTTTATTTATAAACACACAACCACACACACACCCTTGGGTTTGACCCAAGGGTAACGGGTTAATGAAAAAGCCGGGAGAGCCCATGGTTTACCCAAAGGTGAGGGAGCAAAAACCAAGTGTGCTAGGGGGAAGGAAGAAATATAGAAGGGAAAGGACCCAGGGGGAAAAAGGAGAACATCGTAGACCGAAAAAGAAAAATGCACAGATAAGAAAGGGCCCCAAAAACAATATGAAAATGACATAGCACGAAACTATCGACCCGAAACTGTTTTAAGCCCCATCAGGAGGAAAAAACTCAAGGACCAGGTAACAGGCTAAGGAAGGGAAGGGGGAGAGACAACAAGAAAAGACCGGAAGTATGTGAAAAAAATCAACAAGGATTAAAAAAGTGTTCAAGAGGGCGAAGGGACCCAGAAAGACGGAAGGGGGGGACACCACCAAGTGTGGACACGTGCACACAAACCCAGGGAAAAAGTGAAAGGCTTTGAGTGAGCTAGATATCAAAGGGGTGGGGCCCAAAAACATCTCCCCATGGTATTGAGAGAGGGAGCAGAGGCGCTATGTGTACCCCTAACAAACAAATTCAATACATCTATCGAAACAGGGAGATTGCCTGAGGCATGGAAGACAGCAAATGTAGTCCCAATCTTTAAAAAAGGAGACAGACATGAAGCATTAAACTACAGACCAGTGTCACTGACATGTATAGTATGCAAATCATGGAGAAGATTATCAGGAGAAGAGTGGTGGAACACCTAGAAAGGAATGATCTCATCAACAGCAGCCAACATGGTTTCAGGGACGGGAAATCCTGTGTCACAAACCTACTGGAGTTCTATGACATGGTGACAGCAGCAAGACAAGAGAGAGAGGGGTGTGGTGGATTGCATTTTCTTGGACTGCAAGAAGGCGTTTGAACACAGTTCCACACAAGAGATTGGTGCAAAAACTGGAGGACCAAGCAGGGATAACAGGGAAGGCACTACAATGGATCAGAGAATACTTGTCAGGAAGACAGCAGCGAGTCATGGTACGTGGCGAGGTGTCAGAGTGGGCACCTGTGACCAGCGGGGTCCCGCAGGGTCAGTCCTAGGACCAGTGCTGTTTCTGGTATTTGTGAACGACATGACGGAAGGAATAGACTCTGAGTGTCCCTGTTTGCAGATGACGTGAAGTTGATGAGAAGAATTCACTCGATCGAAGACCAGGCAGAACTACAAAGGGATCTGGACAGGCTGCAGACCTGGTCCAGCAATTGGCTCCTGGAGTTCAATCCCACCAAGTGCAAAGTCATGAAGATTGGGGAAGGCAAAGAAGGCCGCAGACGGAGTACAGTCTAGGGGGTCAGAGACTACAAACCTCACTCAAGGAAAAAGATCTTGGGGTGAGTATAACACCAGGCACATCTCCTGAAGCGCACAATCACCAAATAACTGCTGCAGCATATGGGCGCCTAGCAAACCTCAGAACAGCATTCCGACATCTTAATAAGGAATCATTCAGGACCCTGTACAACCGTGTATGTTAGGCCCATATTGGAGTATGCGGCACCAGTTTGGAACCCACACCTAGCCAAGCACGTGAAGAAACTAGAGAAAGTGCAAAGGTTTGCAACAAGACTAGTCCCAGACTAAGAGTATGTCCTAACGAGGAGAGGTTAAGGGGAAAACAACCTGACGACACTGGGGGACAGGAGAGATAGGGGACATGATAACGACATACAAAAAACGAGAGGAATTGACAAGGTGGACAAAGACAGGATGTTCAGAATTGGACACAGTAAACAAGGGGACACAGTTGAAGCTGAAAGACACAGATGAATCACAGGGATGTTTGGGAAATATTTCTTCACCACAAGTAGTCAGTAATGGAATAGTTTGGAAGCGATGTAGTGGAGCAGGATCCATACATAGCTTTAAGCAGAGGTATGATAAAGCTCACGGCTCAGGAGAGTGACCTAGTAGCGATCATGAAGAGGCGGGGCCAGGAGCTCGGGCTCGACCCCCGCAACCTCAACTAGGTGAGTACAACTAGGTGAGTACATACACACACACACCACACACACACACACACATAAAACACACACACACACACAACCCCACACATACACATACACACACATACCACCACACATACACACACACCACACACACACACACACTACATACCACCACATACACACACATACCCCACACATACACACTACAGGGCCCATGTCAACGACTGTCCTAGGGCCAAATGGAACTAACACACACCACACATACAACACACACACACCAAAAACCATTTAACCCCAAAAACCAAAAAAAAAAAAAAAAAAATAAAACAAAAAACCAAAAAAAAAACAACAAAACCAAACAAAATAACCACATCCCAAATCAGGGAGTGCCAACGAAATTTTAAGGAAAAAAAAAACCAAATAAAAAAAAACCAAAAACCACCACAAAAGATGGAAAGGGGAAAAGGGGGGCCCAATTAAAATGCAAGGGGTTTAGCCTAAAGTCCGATAAAATTCAGAAAAATAAAAGGAAACCCAATGGTTTTAAAAAAAATACAAAAAAAAAAAACCAAAAAAAACAAAAAATAAAATCCTTCAAATAAAACCCTTTCCACAACAAAAAAACAACAAATTTCCAAAAAAAACCTCCCCAAATAAAATAAAAAGGGTTGGGGGGAAAAAAGTTCGGTAAAAAGCCCCCCAAAAGGGGGAAAAAAAAAAAATAAAAACAAGTTGGGGAAAGGGACCCCGAAATAAGGGGCCCTAACGGGGTTTGGGGTGGGCTCAAAAAAAGGGAAAAAAAAATAAAGGTGAAAATTATAAAAAAAATTTTAAAATGATGTTGGGAAAAGGGGTTAACAGGCAAAAAAATAAAAGGAGATTCAAAAAGCCGAAGGGGAGTTCGACAAAAAGACACCCCAAAAAAGCAGCCGAATGGGGAATTTAGAGACAAAATTGGGGCCCGGGGTGCGTCCTGGGGAAAAGGCCCCAAACTTTGGGTTTCAACCTTAAAAGGGGAAAAAATTATAAAAAAAACAAAAGGAAAAAATTGGGAAAAAAAAAATTTTAGAGCGGGGGGTAAGGGGGGGATTTAAGTTTTAAAAGTTTGAAGGGGGAAAAGAGGAAAAAAATTTTGAGAAAAATTTTGGGGGAAAATTAGTAAAAAGGGGAAAGGACAAAAGGGGAAAAATAAAAAACCCGGGGGGTTAAGGTAAACAAAAAGGGAAAGAAAACAGGAAAGAGAGAAATTTTGACAAAAAAAAAAAAAGGGGGAAAAAAAAAAAGGGGAAAAAAAAAAACCGGGGAAAAAACCCCGAAAAAAAAAAACATAAAGGGGAAAAAGAGAAAACCCAAGAAAAATAAAAGGGGGGGTTTCCCCCTTAGGGAAAAAAAAACCCCCCCCCCCCAAGACCCCCCCCCCCCCCCCCCCCCCCCCCCCCCCCCCCCTTTTTTCCCCCCCCCCCCCCCTTTTTTTTTCCCCCCCCCCCCCCTTTTTTTTTTCCCCCCCCCCCCCCCCTTTTTTCCCCCCCCCCCCCCTTTTTTTTTCCCCCCCCCCCAAATTCCCCCGCTTTCCCCCCCCCCTTTCCCCCTTTCCCCTTTTTGGTTTTTTCCCCCCTCCCCTCTCCCCCCCCCCCCTTTCCCCCTTTTTTTTTCCCCCCCCCCCCCCTTTTTTTCCCCCCTCCCCCCCCCCCCCATCCCCCCCCCCCTCTTTTTCTCCCCCTTTTCCCCTCCCCCCCCCCCTTTCTTCCCCTCTCCCCTTTTTCCCCCCTCTCTCCCCTTTTCCCCCCCTCCCTCCCCCGGCCCTCCCTTTCTTTCCCTTCCCTCCCCCTCCCCCCCCTTCTCTCTTCTCCCCTCTCTCCCCCCCTCTCCCCTTCCCCCCCCTCCCTCTCCCCCCCTCTTCCCCCTCTCTCCTCCCTCTCTCTCTCCCTCTCTTCTCCCTCTCTCTCTCCCTCTCCTCTCCCCTCCCCCCTCTCCCCCCCTTCCCCCCCCCTTCCCTCCCCCCCCCTTCTCTCTCTCCCTCCTTCTCCCCTCTCCCTTCTCCCTCCCTCTCCCCTCTCCTTCTCTCTCTCCCTCCCTCTCCCCCCT